TCAGATGTCTCTACTGAAACCTGACATTGTTCTAAAAATAAATTCGTATCTTATCCGGCTCTTCTTCTGGGCAGAGATCTTCCGTTTGCAACTTAGGAGTGGGAAATGACGATGCAGATTCGTGCTGCGTGCGATATTGCGTGCTTGGCCCGAATTCTTTTGCGGAAATCCCTCCGGTTCTTAAAATGAACCACAACTGCGCCCACACCTACCATTGCAAAATCGTTATTTATGATTTAGGAGTGTTGGCTGGTAATTATGCAGTAATTACCACTGAGTAAACGGTGCCAGTCTTAATTTATTTGTCTTTCATTCGTTCGATGCTTTTCATCCTTATTTGAGCTGAAATGTTGAACAGTGGCCAGAACACGTCAGAAAATTGCTTTATATTATAATCGGATTAAGCGATTAAGGCTCATTTACCTAAATACAGGCAGTGTCTCTCATAGAAATGCACAACGAGCGGATTAAGTAATAGAGCAGTCCCATTTGTGTCGTTTCTATAATATCTCGTAAGCATTACAACATTTTGTGACCGAGTTTATGGTTAACTGAAAACGTTTTGCAGCTGCTCTATATGCGACGTGGCCCGGTTTCATACTCAACGAGATTAAACAGGTCTCCCCTATTATATGTTCGAATTTATATATTTTTATGGCAGGAGTTTGCGAGGGTTTCTCCAAAGGGCCGCAAAAAACATGGAAATTCTCCACTGAAACTGAGAGAAATGAATCCCGTCTGCATCGCAGAGAAACTCAGCGACTAGTGTGTTTCATTCTCCAACCAATCTATGCATAATTTGCAAATTTTCGACCCAAACCCTATAAGCATTCATTTGGACAGCTTAATCTCAGGACCTTCTCGCGTTACTCTTGATCCAAATCACTTTACAGCGTAGTAAACCGTCGTTGCAGCGTAAAAGCTCAATCAATTTCAAACAAGGTCCATCATAAAATCCAGAAACCCTTTCATGCTTTACGACACATGCATGTCTTGGTTCGAAGTCAATGTTAAAATTAAATTATGCTGTGCACTCGATGGCACGATTGACGTAAATCCCGCCGTAAATCCTCATCCCGAAGATTTTCTGATGGGATAAAAGATACGAAACTGTTGATTAGCTAGGCAATATGAAGCCCATTTTCTCCTAGCATGTGTAAGTGTAACGTACTCCATCAGTATTTCGCATTGTTTCTGACTTCTTCAGGTTAATCTTCGGAAGCATCGGCTGCGAACAAAGAGACTCTTCTAACGAGTAATCGGTTCCGAACCAGAAACTGCGGATGTTTTTACCGACAGTAAAAGTTGTAATTCGAAATTTTACGGTTCCTTTAAAAATTATTGCTGGCAAGATAAAACCGGGAGCTGTTTAATCTCATCCTGTGTGAAACCGGAAAGCTTCGTCCGCAGAGCAGCTGCAAATTGCTTTCAGTTAACTGTTAATTTGATTGCCGTATGCAGGCGCCATTATGATTTAGTCTATGGACTTGGAGCTCGTGATTCGCATGTGTTTTCCTTTCTTTTATTACCAGCTACGTGTGGTGTGGTTGATTTCAAATATACACACTAATTCTCAGATTTTATGGAAGGGATTTTCACTGGTTTGATAGCTGCAGATTTTCTGCAGACTATTCGTGAAAAACAATCCAGAATAATTCTGCTTTACTGGAATGTATGGAAAATGGATCTTGAGTCCACCATGCAGGTTCATGGTAAAAACAATAAATTAATCATCTATAAATACGCCCATTTGATGTAGAAAAAATTATAGAAGTTTGATGACAGACGTTTGCTCTGCTTAACGTAACCTCAAACTCAGTTGCGGATGTCATCTAAACAACGAGTCAGGTAGGCTTATATGCGCTAGTCTGTCACTCGCGCATTTGACATATTTTGCCGATTTTTGTTACCATAATATGGCCGTATTATGTTAATATAATATGCCCACTGAACATAAAATTCCACATTTTCTGGGCAGTTGAGCCTCAATTTTCTTGCAGGGTTTACTTTCAACTAATAGCTATTCACGTGACATTATGAACCAGTTTTCTGACTCTATCAAGAAAGTAGTTTCTTGCAGCCCAAAGTTTATCGATTTTTTATCGCGTATACTGTAATTAATGCGCTAAGCAAGCGTAAACGCCCTGATCTCGCAAACGTAGTTTTTACGATCGAGGTAAAATTTGCAATTACGACTTTTACGATGACCATAAACTGGCCGTAATGAGTGAGAGTTACTAACTCTATTTGTATATTTTTCCCAATTGGCGGCACTAATAAAACAAAATTAGAACCGTAACGGACCATTACGAGTTCTAATCTTAATTGCTTTCAAACATAATTTGGCTTTCCACGGATTCGTAAAATCCCTGCAAATACACAGAAGATTCGAAGAGAACCTAAACCGACGAATACAAACAGCAAATTCCAGAGATCATTTGGAAAGGCGCCTTGGAGAAGCTTTGCATCCTATAAACATCTTCGTTATTTCAGTCAATTTATGTAAGTGTTATTTTCAGGTTTAACTCAGTAACAGTTGAAAACTCATTTGTATATTTTCCAATGTTTCAATCCAAAAACATCCCTGGGTTTCAAGCGTATTAAGATTGCCGTGTGTATCATAGGTTGCCAAATTTTGGTTGTAAAACATGTTTAATGAGCAAAAGCCTTAATTTCTAACTATAAAATTTTGGAGCAAAATCTTTTCGTAAGCTAACTAAATACAAAATTTAGAGGTTTAAGTTATATTTAGTTAGGCGCTGGTGAATTTAACGAATTCTGCCGGGAAACTAACAAGAATTTCTCATCGATTTCCGTTAGGGTAGTTTCGTTTGGCATATTCAAAATACTCAGTAAAAGCGCGAGTATTTGCGGAAATTTAACAGCTGACTGAACACTTCTACTTCTTTGCCCACGCCTAAGGCATCTTCTCTTTTAACTTTCCGGACTTGAGAAACGTTACCACCTCCCTTAATTACTTGCCTTCAAAGGAATCGGTTTCTGTTTAACGAACCTTGTACTTGCTCTTTGCGTCGCTACAGTCTTATCGTTTTTGCTTTGTGGAATTTTGGTTGTGGGCTTCAACCAGATTGCCTTAAAACTGCGTAGTTCCAGCGCCAATATTCGACCGTACAAGTGTGAAAAAGCGACGACGATTTTCAAACAACCAAGAATAATAAAACTCGTTTTAAAGTCCCTTAAGTAAAACTTTCGTGTCGTCCGTAACTAGAAAAATCATAACGGAGAAGAAAATGTGATGAAGGAACTTTTAAATAATAAAGAAACTTCTAACTGTAAAGATCCTTTTAAAGCGGGCGATTCTTTCTCACGTACTTTGCCAAGTTGGGAAACTTTTCCTCAGCTACTGATGCAGAACATTTTAAATTTCATTTATGTTTTACAACTAATTATTCGACACTTGCTTAAGAACTGTTCAGCACGAGCGCAAAGCTGGCCGGAAAAATGCAGATCCTTCTTTGCCGGTGTTTACAAACAACCCATTGATATTCCGCTGTGGCAGCTAAATCGACGAAACTGTGATCGCCTCATGCATTTTCCATGACTTTGCCTGCGCTTCGTCTTGTCCTAACAATTCCGATATTGGTACCTGGACGTTTGCTGTGGTTTTAAAATGGAGCTATGACGAAGTCGCGACGGATAAAGTCAGGGCTTTTATTCCTCAGCTTTGAGACTGTTTGCGCTTACGAGATCCAGGGAGGGGTCATGAAGGTCATGATCATCCCCATTCAATTCTCTATCCAACAATGCCAAAACGAATTATCTGGCTCGAATGGTTTTTGAGAAACTTCGAAAAAAGCAGCATCATGTTCAAGTGGATTTTGCAACTCAAAAAAAACCACGCAAATCTAAAACTTTTTGAATTCCAGCATTTTTTGAGAAAACTGCCAACATTTTCCCATCCATGGTTCACTTTCTAAAAGGGCCATTTCTTTCTGTCTAGAATGATGTACAAATGAGCGTTCTTGCTCATTTTGCCTCCGAGATATGAGCAAAAAGAGGACGGAAAACATGAAATTTTGGCATAATCTTG